AAGTGCCCTGAAATTGTAAATAATTAATTATTTTTGACTTATTTGCATGTCAAAGTCATAAACCCGTATCTCATCGGCTGTTATAATGCTCTCCATGAATGCCATGAATGTAGGAACGGAATTCGCACGAACAATCATGTCCTAAAACACCTGTTATGGTAATAAAATATGGTAATCTTTAAAAAAAATCAGTTTCATCGGGACCAGTCGAGCATGAACGCGTTTAGTGTCGGGCTCTCTTGCCCGATTTTCAAACACCATATCCTTCAATATTTTAATATTGTCATCAGTTGAGGAGACGCGAAGTCGTCCAGAACGAGGTATGTCTTCTTCGACGATATCTCGACATTCTTTAAAGGCCTTGTACCACTCCTTTTCAGAATCGAAAAAGAAAATTTCTCCGAAACGACTTCACCGATTGACTAAAATTTTCACACGACTTGCCTGGAGAAATTTGTTAGCGAATGGTAGATGGTATAGATTTTAAATCTGATTATATGTTATAAATTAAATAAAACGGATCTAGCAAAAATAAGGAGAGAAAAACGAAAAAAGTGAAAATTAGATGAAAATTTTGGTGAAAATTTCTGGACGTTTTTGTTGTTGAATAGTTGTAATTGAACCAAAAAATTCTTCGTTTAAGACCTTTTGAATTATATTTCGAAGCATTTTATTACGATATGTTGAGCAGTTCGCGAGCAATCTTGACAATCGACTTTGAAAACACACTTTCGAGAAAAACGCATTTAAAGTTTTAAGTGACAAAGTAGTAGCTTCAAAACTATTACACAGATCAAATAAGGAATTAGGTCAGTATTCTATATATGATTCAAAATTAAATAAGATAATAAAAGAAACCATTCTTTTTGACATTAGACAAATTTGCTGTTAGACAAATTCCATACAAACGCCAACATTGAACCGTACTCTAATGCAAATGGATCCTTTGAGTACCAGCAGATGGCAACAGTCGCCTGTTAGTGGCTAACTAAGTTACAACTGCTTTTAAAAGCCTATGTCCTTTACGCTTAGTAATTCTTAGTCCAATTTTTTTTTTTTTTTTTTTTTGTAATTGTTATAAGCACTCATAACTTTTCTTGCTGGGTACTTTTGCACTCTTTCTCCACTCACTCGCATTTAAACGAATGTACACAAAGTAAGTAGATTGCGGATCACACGAGCTAATATGAGCTTATGCGCACTGCGCATGCGTAAGTTCGAGGTCAAAACACCGCGCCCCGAAGCTATTTGAACTGTGCACAATAAAAAAAAAAACATAAAAAACAATTTCTTATATTTTTCACTCAGCAGTAAATTATTTGCAGTTTCTCGTGTTTGGGCGTAGCAGCTTCATGTTAAACGCAAAAATTTTGATTTTTTTTAATTCTCATTTTTTTCTACTTAATTAGTGAAAAATCTGCCGACAGGTGAGAGCGAACGTTTATTGAAGTAATGCGTTACATAAAAAATACATGAAAAACAATGGTTAAATGAAAATATGCTGCGCATGCGCTTACAAAATTGCAAACGTTTTATGTCAGGAAGCTGTGAGAGATACGAACTGAAATGAATAGAATTGAAATCAATTTTAAATAAGTAATTTCGTGAAAAAATTCGCACACTTCAGGTGTTTTGGCGAATGTAACGGTACTCCAGCAGCGCTAAATTCGCTAATAGTAATTAAGCGCCACGAGCCAAACTTTTAACGGCACCCAGCGCTTCGCCAACAAACGGTTTCATTATAGCCGCCTGCCACACGCGCAGCTGCAACATCTGCACCTAATTGTTTTTCTTCCTCTGCATGCATGTTCGTTCGCCGCTTATTTTTACTGCTATTTGCGATTTGCCGTTGCCATTTTCTAGTTTCATTTTCCATTGAATTTTATTTCTTAATTTCTTGCGCTTCACCGGTTGAGCTTCGGCTGTCGATGCGCTTTCTTGATCAACACAGCTAACCGAATTAACGCGCAACCAAATAAATGCTCGCAAAAGCGGCAACAATAACAACAAATTGCTAAAAATAATATTGTGAATGTAAAATACGTAAAGACGCCGTAAAAACGTAACTTTGCTTGGTCTACAACAACTTTTCTTATTTACTTCTTCACACTTGAATGACTTCGATTTGTTTTTTTATTGTTGTTGTTGCTTAGTTAGGCTGAAAAGTCGTCAGAAATCGGTCAAAGAAAACTGAAAGTGGCGCCCAAGTATCCGCCTTCCAAATTGGCCGTTGCGCGCACTCGGTCAGCTTCGTGAGTATTACCCGCTATAATGTGTTAAACGACCGCTTAATTCCTTAGCTTCTCTGCAGTTTTTGCGTGCCCACAAACTCTTTACATCGCATTTCGTGTTACATTCTCGTGTATTGTGGTATCCACCGGTATTAAACGGTATAAATTGCTCCCTCATCGATTTTCGCTAATTATTTTCGTCAATTTTTTGTTTGTATGTTGTTGTTGATATAATAGCCTAGTCTACGCTGGAAAGTGAATTTGACGATCGATTATAAATCGTAAAGCTTTTTTGCTATCAACAATGTAATATAATATACATACATACTTACGAAATTATACCTAAGAGGCGAATGACACCTATACGAGCTGATTGATACCGTAATCTCTTTCCAAAAAAAAAAAAATAAAAACTTAAAAATTCTCAACTTTTAAAGATTGATGATTAATAAGGATTTATATCAAAGTTCGAAATAAAGTTCGGGAATTTTTTCATTTATTTCGCACCTTCAACTGGCTTCGTATTGCGATAAGTCAATTTATTTTATGTAATGAATGATCAACATGATGAGCTGAGTCGATTTAGACCCACACGTCCTTTTCTCCCTAAGAAACTGTTCATTTGTCAAAAACGCCGATAGCAGTTCGCTATAGCATATACTATACATAGCTACCATACACATTGATAGATCAGAACCAAGTTTTTGTATGGAAAACTTTTTTATTTGGCAAGATACAGGTATCTTCAAAATTTGATAGTTGTCCAGGACAGCAATAGATTATTCGAACAAATTATTCAGATCACACTCCTATACTATATATCTGTCATACATTGATCCAACTCAAGTCCGAGATTTTCACGCAATTCGGCGTAGATCACCGTCCAAAACAACGGTATAATCTCTGAACAGTTTCTTCAGATCAGACTTCTTTAGTATATAGCTGCCATACAAGCCGACCGAATTTGCACTCTGATTACTTGCACTGGTCCAATATGTTAGGTCGACTAAGTAATTTCACATTTTGCAATTTAAACACATTTTTATAGTGCAAAAAAATTATAAAATTATATATTTTCCAATTTCCTATGTTCCTCACGTTCATAATATTTTTGATATTTGCAGCCAAAAAAAAATGGTCGAAGTAGTTTTTGTCGTCCCGATTTTAGATGAAGGTTCTGCTTACAAAAAATTTTGCAGTGACTGAAGCAAGTAATAGCCAAAAGGTGTCAAGTCATAAAACTTGTATGAGGTTTCGTATTTATCTTAGTAGAACACTACACCATTTATATTGATCAATTCCGTCCGTATTTTGTCCAGCTGATCACAATACACTTCAGAATTATCATGGCATTGGCGAGCAAAATCTCAAAATAAACGATCCCTTTGGAATCCCAGCAACCAGACGAAATAACCGCTTTTTTGGTGACTGTCGGCCTTCGAAGTGGTTTGAGCTTAATCATACTTTTTAGACCTCGATGTAGTGCACTTTACATTCTTATAAACAACCCACGTTTTGACGCCATTATCACTTCTATGAAGTTTGATTAACAAAAACGAAGTAAGTTTCGTTCTGTAAGAACATGAAAAGCCCATATCTATGTCAAGCTTCGAAATTAATCCTAGACGTTTCATGTGTTTCTGAATAGTCGCGTTAGACAAATTTAATCTTTCCGGAGTCTCTTGAGTTGTTTTGTTATTTGACGATTGGCGTCGATCAACGACTTTATTTTATGCACATCGGTTTCAATACAGCTTCGTGGAATATCTCAATCCCGAAATTGTTGGAAAATGAACATATGTACTCCGTATATATAATTTTCGCTTTACTTGTACTGCATGTTTACAATTTTGATAGTAAAACAATAAAATATGCCGAAAATGGTATTTGAGATTTCACATCTTCGATAAGGCACCAAACAAAAACTATTGAAGATAACTTGAAAAAAAAAAAAAATAATAAAAGATTGAAGATAATTTTTTACAAACAAGTATCACTATATCAGCTGTTCAAATATATAACGTAATAAATTTGTACGAAAAGATAATAAAGATCTTCCAAAATTTTTGAAAAAATAATAAAACAAATGATCATGTAAGTTGTTTTGAAAATTTCCCTGATGAACATATCGAGAGCCAAAGGGAGGTGAAAAAGAGTACTCTAAGCCGCTTGGTAGCTCAATATATGCTTTTAATGTAAATGTTTTTACAAATATTTTTGGGAAAGTCATGAAATTATTATATATGATGGTTTGTAAAAATATTACCAAAGCTCTAAGATCAATATGAAAGAACTTTCTGTCCCTTTATTTAGTATCATAAGGGGCTGTTCGTTTCAATGCATTCTGTGCCCTAGGCAATATTTTTTAAAGTTACCTTTTGCCATTAAAATATTATATATTCATACTGAAGAAAACAAAGAAAAGCAAGAAATTATTTTTTAAAAAGTTCACAACTCCGTAATATAATAAATAGTGTCGCAATCATTTCCTCCCAACGATAGCGAAAATTCCGAAATTACTCTTAGATACTATTTTAAAATGTTTCATAACCAACACACCCAAATACATTAGCAATTCACTACCGCATTTAGTTATTGTGGCATTATAATTTGTTGCTATTACCGACCACAAACGGAACTGCCGACGATTAACTCAATTCAACTCATTATAACGAGTTTCTGTCTAATTTTCTTAAATCAAAAAAAAAAAAAAAAAATTAAATACTTTAAGTCTATTAACATTACATTTCCTCTCACGCAATTTTCCAGCGCATGCGCAGCTATCAACACATCGCAATGTTGTCGCCACAACCAGCACGCGCAATGAAGGCAACAACAACAGCAAAGACAACCACTTCATTAGCCACATTTATACTTCTGATGCTACTCTCATTAACCATCACCAACGCGCAGACGCAAGCGCCTACACAAAACCGAAACGTAGAGATAACCGGCAAACCCGCCATCTACAAGCCCGCTGTCATACGCACAGAACTACGCTTCGGACGTAATCTGGATCCGGAGAAGGTGCGCGTCGTCAATGTGAAATCGAACACTGGCGATAACGTGGAAATTCTGGTGGGCAAAGATTCGAGACGCGGACGACTTGCTGATGCGACAGGTAGCTTCTTTGTGCGCAGTGCCGATGTACGCAAACCAACGCCACGCCCGCAGAATGCCAAACCCGCCGTTTTTAGTTTCCAACATACGCCAGCGTTGTTGAAACAAGTCGAACTGGCGCGCCAGAGCCGGGATTATCAAGAGCGCAAGGCCGAAGCTGAAGCGCGACAAGTGCTAAAGATACAAAATGCCTTGCGTCAGGCTGACAGTATGTCAGATGCCAGCGACAGGGCGCAATATGCACGTGGTCTACAATTTCGCGACTCTAACGAACCGCGACAGCAGAGAGGTGCGCAACAGCGCGCCACCGACGAGCTCAGATTTGTTTCGCCTGACGTGCAAAAGTTTGGCGGCCCAGTCAACTATATACCCATTGCGCAGAGTACAAATACCAACAACAAAAGCTTCTCATTTCCGTACGCAGCCGCTGCCCCACACAGCCAATCCATCGATCGCTCCTGGCAACCGTTAGAGTCCGTGAGCGCGCCACATACACGCAATATGCGTCAAGCACCCGACCTATATAACAACAATGCTGGCACATATCACCTCGGTAATGGCTACAGTTTCCGTCCCATCTTCAATGCGGCGCTACGCTCGGTTGCCGAGTATTATACAAATGCCGCCAGTAATCAGGGTAGTGCAAGACGCGCCACACGCCCCAAAAATATCATCACCAAGGATGACTATGTGACTGCGAGCAAGAAGAAGACCACCTATGTACCCGCAGCGGTAGTGTTGACCTCATCCACATCCGTCATGCCAGCCAATAGTAATACTTACACTAAACCGAACACAAATTTCGATAACAACAGTTACAATAGCCAATACAATAGCAATAAAGTAAGCAATCAATATGCGAACACTTACAAAAACGCACCTTCCACAAAGCATCCTAAAGTGCCCAAATTGAGAGACTCACCAACGAATCAGTATGCAGCGGCTTCAGCGCCCACCTCGACGATCGTTGACGGTCCAGCGGTAACGGTGATTGAAGGTGTACGTGTGCCCGATGCGCCCGAGGACAAAGTTAGGACCTGGCGTAATGCGCGTGTGCTGAACAACAAGCTCGTACCTTACCCAGATGGTTATACGCCGCCCAAAGTGCAGATCCAGCATTTCGATAGATGAGTGAATGATCTCACGTGACCACTGCATAACTATAGTAATTTAACTGCCAAAAATTAAAATGATTTCTTATTATTTCAATTACTTCACGAACACACTTTAACTTTGGCATAGCTGAGCGAAGAAAGAGAGAGTGAGAGAGAGGAAGTTGTAAGCGTTTCAACCAGCGGCTTAATTGAGTCAATTATCGTGTGGTTAAACCATTAATGTAAATTTAATGTAACATTAATACTTGCAGCAATAAACAGTTAATTGACTCCATTAAGCGCCTGCTTGTAATGCCTGAAAGAATTCACGAGCGAAGTCAACGCCTTTAAAAACATTCTTGCTGCACATTTTCTTTGTAATTTATTTATATATATTTTTAATATTTAATTTAAGCAAGCTACAGGCAAATAAAAAGTTAAAAATCTAGAATTTTTAGTAGTAAGTTATCTTTTCTTTTTAGGTAAAATAAGTGGCACACATTTATTCCCGAACTATTTATAATATCCACATATTTCTAAGCAACTCCCGAGGTTAATATTATTTTATTTTAATAATATGTATATGCATTAGTAATTAAGTTATGAATAAAAAACGATTTGTTCCCTTGTTTTCTCTTTCTTGTTGTTTATTTACTTCTATTCGCCTCACTTCAAATAAAATCTATTTTAAGCATTTAAATTGTCATTTGAGTCAAGTTGTTATTATACATTGCTGAGCTTAATAAATTTACACAACAATTTATTGCATTTAGTTTCAATTTATTTTTAAGTTTGACGAGTATTCGAAAAGAATAGTTCCTATTGAAGAGGCACATTAAGCCACGCTAATTCGAAACACTACAATCAAGTGATTTTCATCACTTCGTATGAGTTATTTTTTAGAATAATAAAATCATACCTTTAGTAGATAGCTTGGATTCGCTGGTCCTTGGCCAGCGCTGGGCCACCGTCGGTATATGCGCAAAATTCTTTTGGCCCAAGATCGATCACAAGAGATTCAGTGATCTCTTTGTCCTCAGTAAGGCTAGTCTACGTGCGATCTCTCTAATTCAGCCATCTAACCTAAACCAACCTATGTTGGCTTTTATATTTCGGGATTAGAAAAGAAAAATAAAATTTTAATCATCGAGAATCCCTTAATTGTTTTTCCAAATATTCTCCATTAAGATATTTACGCTTTCACATGCATTCGAACCAACTGTCGATGCATTTTGCCACTCATGCATTTTGAACGCATAAACCGCCTCTTCAGGTGTCAAAAAAGATTGAATTATGAGTTTATGTTTTACTTACAAGCATAAAAAGCAGTCATTCGGTGCCAAGTCAAGACCATACGAAGGATGACTCATCAAAATGATGTTTTGAGTGTTGAAAAATGCAGTTGTTTCAGTCGACGTGTGAGAGCTCGCGTTATCGTGGCGAAGCGTGATCCGATTTCGGCGGTTGGTTTTCCTATTTTCTTGAAACACAAGTGGCAAGCAAATGATTATATATCACTTAGAATGTACTGTTCTGCCTTGTTCTAATATTATGGTTGCGACATGTCCAGTTGTTTCAAAAAACAGTCAACCTTTTCGCTTGGAACAATTTTTATTGGATTCGGCATGCCATCATGAAACACACATGCAGTCGACTGGTCTTTATTTTTTGGGGCGTACGTGTAAACCCATTTACCACAATTTCATAGACGACCTTTGAAGCACCGCTATCGTTTTTTAAGCCTTTCTTTCGACCAATGGACATGAGCCATTTTTTGAGCGTTTATCAAATTATGTGGGTTCTAACGTCAAGAAATATTTATACAGTCAAATTTTCATGCAATACTGAAGGCACAAGTGTATTGATCCCATTAATGCCTATAGTAGTCTGTATTTAACGTTCGGTAGCATGACGATAGTTCAATATCAGAGATGAATGTTTTAATGTAGCAACGTATCCTAAATAAGAAGCTTTTGATCGAGAAGCCATTGGCAAAGCTGGGGACTCTCACCAAAAGTAGTCCTTTAGAATACAATACCATAGTCAAGCACTAACGAGAGAGAGAGTGCGAGGCCACAACTGGCAAAGAAAGTTGGCTGTTGAAAGGTTGATGATCTACTCTTTCCGTGTGTTCTGCTATTGGATAGGTAGGCTTCGCTAAAGCTTGACCAGCGAAATCCTTTTAGAATAAGAGCGATGATAAGAGCTTCAATGAGCTATTTTCCCTTTGTATTTCCTCTTTGTCTTCTTTCCTCCTTGATTTTCCCGCGTTTGCGGGATCAGTGCTGAAAGACTACGGAGCTCTTTTTTTAACATTTTATTCACCCCAATGCGGGAAACGAAATGAGATACAGAAGTTAAATTTGTATGGCTTCGCAAAGAACTGCATTTAGTAGTCCACGTGCGTTACCTAAATCAGCCATAATCTAACCTAACACTTCCAATCAGAAGATGTAGGTACAAATTATAAATGAGAAACTCGAGTGTATCGGACCTTAGCGGTGCTATAAAAAAATGTGTAATTTATCTCATAAGCTTCACTATGTAAGTGGAAATCATAGTTTTCTACCACTGCTTTTGATATGTAGTTCAACTAGATGAACTACTGATTCCCAGCAATCCAAGCTCCCTTATACTGAACCTATAACAATTAATTTTGAGTTTCGAGACTCTAAAAGGGCAGAACTGCGATAAATTTTAATATGTATAAATTTTTTTAAATTTTTCCTGAAATAATCCCTTTTTATTCTTAGTGTTTATTAGACGATCAGGTCCGCATTAGCAAAACAACTCTTAAAACATTTGGGGTCCTCACGTTGCAAGACATCCTCATCCTATGTATGAATAGTGAAGCCGTAGAACCTATTGAAATTCGCGTAAATGATGACTACTTCTCCTGAACTACCTAACGGCACACCATTTGACCTCACTGAGGCCCAAAACTGGGCTAAGCGCGGTTCACGAGAATGCAGAGAAATTGATTAAAGCTCAGTTATTTGTACTTTAATATAGTTATTTATGTATGTATATTTCTTTGGCGTTAAACAAATATTTAAGTAATAAAAATTGGAAAATCATAAAATATCGGTGCACACGCAAGCACACATCATAGCATGTATTGGTTCACGGTTGTAACCTTAATATCGTGCTCTTTAACATCCATACATTCATTGCTAAAGAACTCCAAGTGCACCATCTGCGTCGGCTCTAACATCATAAAGCCGTTATTTGATAATTTATGTCGCTTGATATCGGTATTAAGTAGTTCGAGGTAAAGAAATATGGCAGGCTTTGCAATAGTAATATTTAGGCTGATAACATTTGCGAATTCATTGTTCACGCGGTAGCAGTAGGTGAAGAAAACTCTCAACTGATAAATGGGAGAATGAAAAAACGAACTATAAATTTCGTTAGAATAAGAGGAATGTGTGACCTACTGTTACTTTAGGATCCGCTACGCCCTCAGCGTCCTTAATCGCGCTGGGAAAATAATAATTGCGCGCTAGTACGTTCGATTCGGCGCTCAAAACGAATTCGACAAAAGAGTTGGTCTGGGTGAAACCCTCTTGGAAAATGGTATCAATCGGAATTATCTTGTCGTACTGCACGCCATTGGGTTTCTGTACAATTAATTGTTCACTAAGCAAATTTCAGTATTTTTGTTAAAGAAAAGGGGGTTACCAAAGCGACTGGCCAAACAGTTTGCTTTTTCGGAAACAAATCCGACCATTTGTAGATATTCATAGTGACTTGGAGATCTTTGTAATCCACTTCCAGCTTATCACATATTAACGACACATTTACCACTTCCTGATCGGAGTCGTAAAGTGACACAATATGAATTGGTGACATGAAGTGTTTCGCCCAATAGTGGAGTATCTAAAGGAAATCAAACAAAAAAAGTGAAATATTGAGTTAGAGTGTTAAAATCAGACGAGAAATGAACAGAAACCTTGAAATTTCCATAGAAATCTATGCTGGACCAAGAAGGCGCCACCCAAACGTCATTTAATTGCCAATAGAGTGCGCCCATTGTGTGATGTTCAGTGTCTCTCAAACTGCGATAGACTTCGGTCTCTATTTTCGTCACCATCGCCTGCGCGATTTGACTGAGATAGATCAGGGCCTCAATGTAAGTATCATCCTCGGGTAACGGCAGCGGCAAATGGCGTCTTATCAAAGTAGTTATCAAAGTCATATTGGCGGGATGATGCTGACGATGATGTATTAAGTTGAGCAGATTATCATTGGGGTTTTTAGTCAACTGCCAGGAGGTCAGCTTTGGCAAACTCTGAAATCCATACTCGGAAGCGAAGCGCGGACGTCGAAAGACATTTGGATTCCAAGCATCCTCATAGTTCGTGTAAAAGTGTACTACAGAATAAGTATAATTATTTTATATGAAGTTGGCACTTCAACGTTCTACGACTTACTATCGCCGTAGTTCGGGTCGCCGGGATTGCTTGAAATATAATTATCTTGTTCACTCGCCTTGGCATTCGATGGCGAGGAAATCAGCGGCTTCGGACGTGAGCTATCCTGTATGATCTTCAACTCGTGGAAGACGGTACCAATGTACAACTCACGATATTCGGACTCGAAACGCGCACGATCGCCGGCCGTGCCATACCAGTTATCCACGAGCGCCGCTTCGTTTTCATTATTCGTCGCAATAATTGCAATACTCGGATGATAAGCGATGCGTTTTGCATTTTGTATGACTTCCGTGCGCACTGACGCAAGAAATTCATCTGTAACGGGATACATAGCGCACGCGAACATCATATCCTGCCACACCAATATGCCGAATTTGTCGGCTTTATCGTAGAACTCGTTGCTCTCATAGACGCCTCCACCCCAAATGCGTATCATATTCATATTCGCGTCTCTGACAGCTGTCAGCAAATATCGTACTGTAAATGTGGATGGGGAATATAAAGAAAATGTAATAACAATAGAAACATTGTATTGCTCGAAGACTCACTTTGGACTTCATCATAGCTCAGCTCGGGCAGTATATGCATGGGTATGTAATTGGTGCCCTTCATGAAGATCTCCACGTCGTTCACTTTGAATAAGAAATAGTTGCCAATGCCTGTTTTTTCATTCAAACTATTTATATTATATATCTTTTTTACGAATTTCATTAGTTAGCTCTTTACCTTCCTTGGCCGCATCTTCGACCAACTCAATCGTTCGAAAACCTACTTTTATGTTCTTCGTAGATGTAGTACGAGCACGTGTATCGGGACCTTCTGAACTAAGCCAGGCTTTCATCGAAAAATGTAGTGGATACAATTTTTGCTCCCCATAACCATTGGGCCACCACAGGGTCACATTTTCCTAAACATAAAAATTAAGGATATGTGTGTATTATGGAATAATATAGTATGTATATTATGGAATATACCTAAGGCGAATATTAAGATTTACAAAAGGTTTCAAAACTGTTTCGTTTTATATTTTTATTTGAATACATAATATTTCTAGAAAATTATGTCAACACGTCAGTTCATTTGGATCAATATTGACAAAGTTACGACTATAAAGACGTTATCTTCAAAAAAGAAACCTCAATACTTAGATTGGGATAGGTTAGGAAAAAGAGCTGATTTCACATGAGACCACGAATAACTCCACTTTGACAGCTAGAAATAGGTATGAATCAAACAGACTGTCGCATATCGACAAAGCGCCAATAGCCTGGCAAAACTTAATGAGGCGGTGTGCCGCACAGTGCAGAAGAAAATTTCTACATATTTCCACCTTAACTTCTTCATTGCAACTTTGACGAGTTATGTCCTCCAAAATCTTCATTACGGCGCTGTGAACCTTCCTAAGAGCTAGCAATGCAATGCATCTTTTGCGCTCCACTCTGTGCCAGAAGGCTTTCACAACTCCACAGGTGCTGGTTGCAGACCAAATCGCGCTGAGTTCGGATGACGTTCATAAATACAGCTCCCAAGTACACGTAACTTCTGTACCTTATATCGTTCCCATCTTTATTGAATATGGGTAAGGGTGCTCTTTCTGATCTGATGCCACCTGGATGGCTGCGACGTTTGCTTTAAAAGCACTGCAGTGGTTTGCAGTTTAAAACAAGAATTTATTTAGGTCTCCCTACAGAAGTGCAGAAGCTTACATATACACAGAGAATATGACAGTAGCAGTAGGTTCCACGGAGCAATAGTCCAACTTATAAGGGATGCAATTAAAGTGAGAAAGGATTCCACACCGCTTCCCAAAAGCTTATTTACATCAATATAAGCATGTTTAGTGCAAGGCAACAAAGCATCTGTTGAGCAGTTGTCCAGCTTTGGCAAGACTATGCAGTAAGCATATGTGGTCTCTACGGTATGATAGATAGTGAGGTCACAGAGTCTGTCAGAGTCAAGCGCAGGCATCTTAAAGGATGACTACTCCTCATGGACCTACTAACTGAACTTCATCTGGTATCGCTGAGGACCAAAACGGGCTACAAATTAAGAATTCCAACAAAGTCTCAAACCTATCGACTTTTCACTTATTCTCACTTACAATAGGTAGTGCTTGATCGAAAGTAATAACGGGATTCCTCCATGATAACATTTTCTTCGAATAAGTACTTATTGTAATGGGTTCCTCCATAAGCTCACTAAAGAAGGAATAATGATTAATGAGAAGACAACAACAACAACAAAAAACTTCATACGTACATGGCATAAAATTTGAGCTCAGCATAAAAATTCCGCCTGCCGCCACTGTCGATAAAGACCCGTATACGCATATTCCAGTGCGTGTCATTGCGACTAATTGCCACATCCACATCGCGTATCAGGGCCACCTCATAGAACTCCAACGTTACGGTTTTCCTTCATAGACACACAAATAGAATTACGAATTTTAATTGAAAGCAAATGAATACGACATAATTGACACCATTTACCAGATACCCATTGAGGGCGCTGCCAGCCCCCAATCCCACGCGAAGCTGGACTGCATTTTACGCAGCATATTCATGTGGCATTCGCCTTTATAGGTAACGGGTGGGCAAGTGGGTGGCACAGACATGTTGCGCGCTGCCAACTCTTCGGCTCTGACACGCGCCGCATGCACCGGCGAGATCAGACGCACCACCAATTCATTCACATCCCGCAATATGTGACCCACTTCGTATGTGTAGCGTACGAACATGTTGTCGGTGTAGCCCAATAAATGACCATTGAAATAAATTTCCGAAATCGTGTCAATGCCATGGAAGGTGAGATTAATGAGACGAGAGTCTTTGATTTCCTCTAGATGTAAAATATTATAGACGTTCTTATGATTATAAAGGTATGATAGATAATTTATGCTGAAGAGATGTACCAGCGAATTTCAGAGAATAGGTCCAATTGCCATAAGATATGTAGCGCATGTCAACGTCATTGTAAGACTTGAGCACATCTTCACCGGCGACAGCGCTGTAGACACCTGACGGTAAATTTACCTTCGTATTAGCTATAGATGAAATTTAGAAATCAGAAAATAATAGTAAATGTTAGTTAGTTTAATAATAAGTTTCAATTTATAAAGATTTTGAGTTGATACAATTTTAATTCAATTATAAGCGCTTTACCCCATATGACTCATATATACTTACTTAAAATAGTCGATCACGCGATATATTACTCCCAATTTTTTATAATTACATATTCATTATTAAGTTTTCTTTCTTCATTTTATCTGTAGCGAATTATCTTCTTAATGTTTAACCGCTCTCAAAAAACACAAATTATTCCGGAAAGCGGTCGAGAACGAAATTTATAATTAAAGTAGGTTGCTAATGAATATTATAGGGTCTCTCTACCATTAATTTCTATGACTGAAGACAGTACATTTGTAGACAAAAAAATCATTTTTTCATATTTCTCGACGACCTCTCCTGCTGCAAATCGGCCTATCGCGGCTTCAATAGTCTCTTCAATTACACTTAACGAAATACTAATTACCTAAATGTAATATATATAAATATATATATAAATAAATGTTATAATGTTACAAAAGGTCAACTGAAAAGTCCCCGCTAACGACACTTGTATACTATATCTGATAGCTGACGGTCATGTTTAGTAAAGCCATTTTAGTTAATTTAAAAATCTGATGAAAAGGTATTTGGCGTATTGATAAAATAATGCTTTTTGAAGGGAAAAAGATACAAATGAAGCAAAAACTTGATGAGGAGTTTCCGAACACTGCCCCAGGAAAATCAACCAACAAGGATTGGTAAGCTAAGTTTACAGGTGGCTAATAAGCACCGGAGACGGTAAACGCAAAGGACGCCCAAAAGAGGTTGTTACCGACAAAAGCATCTATATGTGACAATGAATGAGAAATATTTCACTGCAAAGTCTAATCGACAGTCATCCGAGTAGGCTGTACACGAGGAACCGGCTCCAAGGCATGGAAGAACGCTACAGTCGGCTGACAAGATTATGGCGTCTGTGTCTTGGGATGCGCACGGAATAAGAAGATGGACCTTCAACAACGACTATTACATAGCGTTCGACGAAATCGCCGAAAAGGCAGCATTTGAAAAAAAAGAGAGCGCGATCTCACCAAGACGCCGTGTCACAGGTTGTTGAAAACGTTGGTAAAAATGCATGAGTTGGACTTCTAATTTCTTCCGCATCCTCCGTATTCTGCAAATCGGGTCACCAGACTCAGATCACAAAAATAATATTCCCTGGGTAGAAAATTTCATCGAACGAACAGCCGATCGCCGAAATGAAGATCTATTTTAATCAATGGGTGAATCATACTACAAAAATGGTATCGAAAAGTGCATCACTCTTGAAAGGAACTATATTGAATCAACAAATTTTGCCATAAAAATGAGTTTTACTGTGTTAAGTCGCGAACTTTTCAATTGACCTGTTATTCAATCTTGCCGAGGTACCAGATAATGTTTCCACAACTACAGCACTAAGAACCGGTCTTTAATGTGTGGTTACCAGCCAGCTGTCAGTTAAGTTCTGGTTAAAAGAATTGGTTCTTTACCGAAAGAAGTAGTCTTGGTCAAATTAACCAATTATTAACATTGTGAAAACGGCGCTAAGTCGTGCCTGAATTTGAGGATGATGATGTAAATGGTCTTTGGTAACAACAAGAGAGCGCTACTTACCTACATGCTGGTACTGTTTAATACCGCTGAACTATTTTTTAAGGGTTAGGTGAATTCGCTTATCTACTCAGAGAATCCCAAGACGATTGATGCCTTGGAAAAGAATATTCGGCGCGTAATTGCTCACATACGGAACCAATTGCTGCGAAAAATGGTCAATAATGAAGACTTTCGACTGGAATTACTTGAAGCCAGCCGTAGCAGTTGCCCAAATTTAATATTTTTTTTACTAGTATACGTTTATTTTGCCTTGAAGTCCACGTCGCAAAATGTACCCTATATTACTATAATTGGAATTTCTGATCTATAGTTAGGTATAGGTTACTAGTTTCTGATTCTTTTGATTGATTTTTGCATTCTTTTGTATTATTTTGCTTTCTATATTTCATTTCAATGACTCATTGTTGATATTTCATTGTTAAACCGTTATGTTTGCCCTTATTTTCATAATTGCAAATATTAAATGAGTCGGGCACGAATCGCTAACAAAGTTACTTTTTGCTTGTAATTGGAACAATTAAATGGAGAATTAGTTCGTAAAATGGAAATGTGTTGGACTTGAAAAACTTATAATTTGCGAGATGAAATTTAATGTTCGTTTATTTAACGAGATCGCTGAACACGAGGTGTATTCAACACGTATGACAACTTATAAAAGTGATTTAAAAAAATTTAATTACTTCGTCATAATCGAATATTAAAAATTTTAACTACGTTGCTTCACTTCTTTGTAAGAACCATTGACGTTCAGGTTTTAAACTGCTTGTCATTTCTCCGGACCGAACCGGAATCATTACCTTATGTATATGGAGTGTTTTAGGTATGAAGCTTATGTTCACTTACGAATATCGCTAGGGAAGAAGTAATTGGTTGTCTCCAAATGGAAGAAACCAAAAACGCCAAGACAGAAAAAACTTGGCCACTGGAAATTTTTATTTTTTTTTTAACATAGTACGTTATATTATATGTGAGGAAGAAAAAATTAACTCTCTGCTGAAAATCTCATATAACCTAAGCTAAAAAATAAAGTAAAAAATATTTAGATATCTTTAATACGTTTTTTAGTTAATTTTAATAATATTTTAGCCGTACGCACGGCTTAAAATATTCAGATCTTATATTTAGAATAAAGAAAAATATATTAACAAGTAATTTAATTAACGAACGAACTAAACTTTTTTATATTAAAATCCTGAAAATTTTAATAAAAAATAATTTTCAAAATTATAATCTCAAAAGCAATAAATCTTCTAATGTTTTAACCGACATACCGGATTAAAAAATTATTAAAAATTTTATCCCAAAATTCGGATAAAAATTTCATTTTTAATTAACAAATAACTAAACGCTTAATTTAAAAAGAGACTGCTTTAGAATTTCAAAAATAAATTTTTTTTTAATTTTGGAAAAATCATTTTTTTTTATATTGTTTGAAATTAATTGTTGTATTTATTTGATGCTCCAATTTTGAAAATAAAAATTATTTTCTTAATTTATAATTTTCATTTCTTATTGGAAATTAAATTTTTAACCCCAAAAATCTTGAAGATATCAATATAAAATATCGTTAAATTAAAAAAGAATGAAAAAGATAAAAAATTATAAATGAAGGAGTTTGTTTTAGAAATAATAAATGGAGTTTGTTTTAAAATTTGAATTTTTTTTTTTTTGTTTTTGAAAAAATTTGTAAAAAAAATTTTTTTTGGAAAATTTTTGAAAAATTGTTTGTTTTTCTCCAAGTTTTAAAATAAATTTTTTTTTTAATTTTTATTTGGGATTGGAAATTAAATGTTTAATCCCAAGTATCTTGGAAAAATCACAATTTAAAATTGAAATTTTATTTTTTAAATCCAAAATTGGATATTGATAATATATATTTTTTTCAAAAATTCTTAATTAAAAACTTCGGCTTCGGCTTCTCATACAAGGCTGAAATGTTAAACCTGCCAACAATTTGACATGCCTTCAGGCGCCGCAGCAGCTACTAATATTTCAGAATTTCCATTTTAAACGCGCCTACCGGCAAGCACCATAAAATGTTTATAAATATATCGTATCGCTACAAAGACACTATAGGTATAAGTATCTATGGAAGATACAAACCGAAAAGAGACAATAAACGGGTTATTACTTGGCAATTATATGATAAGCCGCGCCTTCACAACTATATTCAACAATGCCGACACACAGACTTACTGTAAGTGCCATTGCTAAGCGTCCACGACAGACCCTTCAAATCCTGCACATACACCGACTCCGCCACGGCACTCCCGCACAAATTGCAGAGCCAAACGCTGGCGCACAACACTATTAGATCAGCACGAGAGCTGACTGCACTTTTCCGCTCCATAATTCGCATTTTATAATTGGAAATTGCTTAGCAGTCATTTACATATCACACAAAGAGTCTCTTAGCGTCACTTTTTAATTATTACAATTTGAATTTTATTTGTTTTGTTACTTGTGTTACTTTTACGTGCACTTGAACTTTCTTTTGGCGCTTCGGCTTTGAGTGCCTTATGTTTGACGGCTTATCAATTTCACTACACGATTATGTTACACGCCAAGCAAAACCTTGCCGGCAACTAACATGTGCGATCACCGCGCCGGTGATTTTATTTGTTGAGCTCCAATTTTTCTTACGCTCCATGCTCTCTGTAATTTGGTTGCAAAGAGAACAAATTACAAATTTATTAGCTAAGAGATAAGCCAATAGACTCTTAGAACTTCCAAAGATTAAAGCCGGCGAAATACATTAAGGTGTGGGCAAAAGTTCATTTTTAAATTGTTGCGAACGAATTCAACAATATTGCGAAATCATGAAATACCTTTACTAGGTACATATAAAGCGTGATCCATTTCGAGGCTCCTTTTTTTTGAAAGAAAAAACACAGAAACTTCTAATTTAATGGCCAGTGTTTATTATCATTTCAAAGAACAATCTGTGGCATTTATTTTTCGAAGATTAACTCTTTTTAATATTGGCCGCGGCTCTGTCTCAGATGGTCCATCCGTTGAGTCCAATCATCGAAGACGGATCGCTCTTCGCTACGACAATGAGGGCTCTCACACATCGACTGAAGCATCTGCATTTTTGAGCACTCAAAACATTGAGTTGATGAATTATTCTCCATATTCTACCAACTTGGCAACGAGTGACTTCTTTTTCTGTTCCCGTTCGTAAAAGATAAAATCAGAGGTCAATGTTTTTTGACACCTGTAGAGGCTATTGATGCGTTCTGCATGCATGTTTTGAAAATACCTGAATCAGAGTGCCAAAAGTGCTACGACAATTGGTTCGAACACATGCAAAAATGTATGAATATTAAGGGACAATATTTTGAAAGACAACAACCTGATTTTCGAGGGTTAAATTTTTTCTTTTTGTTCTTTATTTTTGATACCAAAATATAAAAGGCAACCAAGTTTAGATACCCTGCTGCTTTCTAAATGAAATGTATGTCGTTGAGCATTAAGATTCCATCGACTACTTGAAGACTTGCTACGATTATGAAAAAGTTATTCATTGTATACAATACCTCTATGAAGAACGGTGTAGAATAAAGGGGCTTTGGATTCAATGACAGAGTCTTATCTAACGACGATGTCCAATTCATCTTGATAACTTCGTGAAGGACTTCGTTACTGTTATTTGTTAAATATTTATTTTGTATATCAGTATAATAGTAGCACCCCCCACTGTTGAGCTCTTTTAATATAACTTTTACATATGAAAATAGAATTGGATTTTTGGCATTCTCATACCAGAAAAGGCATAGTTACGCTGTGATTGAACACAGGATTTCATACATTACTTTACCAATTTACAAGTACTATACATACACAAGGGACCTCATTTTATGAGTTTCAAATTATCGTATATAAAAACCGCTGAGTCTGTCCGTAGATAAGAATCCATATTCATCAACGTGTTGTAGAATTCAAAATGTGCCAAATGTCACATCAAAATAATCATTACTGTCAAAGATGAGCCGAACCCGAGAAACCTACGTCAAAGAACGTCAAAGTTAAAGGTTATGTTGACAGTTTTCTTCAATTATAAAAGTGTGGTGGACTCCGAATTCCTTCATTGAAGTCTATACCGGAACTTAACAACTGTTTCGAGGATTGGAAAAAAATTTGTAGAGGACGACATAGATTTTGAAGAATAAACTGAGAATTTTAAAATTATGAACCAAGTCTTATTATTTTTTGCTCTTAGTAGAACATAAAAACTGCGCATATCGTTCTCAAAATTATGTCTTAACTATGATTAAGCATACTAATATGATTTTCTTACATCCTATATAAATAACTTTGTGTAATAAATCACTAATGATAAATATGTATTCCCTCAATGCCTAAATTTTTGACCACAAAGTCACATACAAACATTGTTGATAAACATCATTGCCTTTCAATAAATTACATTCTCTTTTACTAGACAATTACTCTCTCCGTCACTAGCTGACACTCTTGAAAACGCATTCAATTGAACTCTATGAAAAGGTCAGTTATATTTATATTCTCTTATATCCCCAAGTGACAAAAGAGCGATAATAAATATATGCATGAGTTAGAAATGTGGATAGATTTTGATAACGTTACTCACTATATTGTAGTGACCACGTTATTTTTTACATCGCACTTCGAAGTTTATTGTTCAGTTTGCTGTAAATCGTTACTTTCATCTGAGGACAACCCGTAACAAAGATTGATTGAATCGCACTCTAGGAAAATCTGATGAAGAAACTTCACAAATAATCCTAAGGCATTGCCATGCCTCAGTGTACTGTTTTTTCATACCCTGAATAGCGTATATTACTTACGTTTACACTTTCGGATGAGGAACGGAGAGAGAACAGTTCAACCAGAATCTGAAAGTGATAAATAAATGATATCAAGGTTATTGAGATCGTTATACGATGGCAGACCAAATTCCTTGGAAGATACTTACATATGTTACGGTGAAGTGGCAGTCAAAGCTTCTCCCTTTACTTAAGCAAACTGCGACTTAATACTATAGTTACCATATTGCGTATGAAATCGAATCAAAACTTCTTGAGTTAAATAAAATTAAAATAAAGCTAAATTCGATTACCTATGTACATACATATGTATATCACATACATACAATTTTGGCAACTTTTTGTCGCATTACTGAAATTGTGTTTGTTTTCATTTCTTCTTTTTCTATTGGTTTTATATGGACGCTTAGGGTGTTGCGCTTCCGGCGCTCTGAATATTGATATATGGAAGCCGTACATGCCCATATGTACATATGTATGTTTATACATATAGTATATCAATTGCCACCAATGTACGAATTCATACAAACAAATATATTTTAAGAATTTTTAAAACCAAATTGAAAGTGCTGTGGATGCACCAAATTCGCTTAAGTTATTCAAGCTTGTTTTTTATATGTTCATATGTACAAACAGCTATATATACATACATATGATAATGTATAAAAACTAATTTTTTGCTATTTATAAGTGGAAAGTTTACACTAAGAAAGCGAAATTTTGAACAGAGGTCGCTTGTCAATGTTAACAGCGAACATTTTTTCATAGAATCAAAATCAATATCAGATATCTGATTAGGATTGTCTAATGTGTGAACTCAAACACCTATCATTCTTTAATTGTTTCAAATGAATAATTCAATTAGGTTGTGGTTCAAGAAAGTTCTTTACCGAAGGAAGGAGCCTTGGTTAAGTTAACCAAAATTTAACTGAAAAATACCTTAATATTAGCATTTGCGCCTACTCCATTCATTCCCTGCTTATGTCGACTGGCGCTCAAACTGTTTCTTATTGTTCGCTGTTAAGTTGTGAAAGCTCAAAAACAAATTTTTACAGTAACATTAGTATGCAACACTGGCTCTCAAAATGTACATATACGTATATTTTAATGTTAACAGAAATATTCTTTTCGAATAGAAAAGTATTTATTTACAATTTTAAAGGGAGAAACGTCGAAGACTCCATTAAATCAATATACAAGGTTTTCTAATAAAAGTGATTTGTGAGTGATTTCTTAAACAAAAAATAAAACACAAATTGTTAAGGAATTTCAAACATTTCTTTATGTCAAGTACAATCGATATAACCAATTTTCAAGTTGTTTTTGCACTAAATCATCGTATGTCATGAATAGCAAGTTCAATATTGACTTATATAGCTCGAAGAGAGTCTGGTTTATTGCTAAATATCAATCACTTCAAATAACTCCACAGGAGTAGTATAATGGTGTTAAATCGCAACTTCTTGGAGGTCATTCAATATCACAATTTCTTGAAATAATCGAATCTCCAAACTTTTCTCGCAATAATGCGGTTGTTGCATGTGTGCATGTGATACGTAGTCGCGTCTTGAGCTGGAAACAGATGTTTTCAAAATCAACTTCATTCAATTTCGGTCATAAAAAGTGTGTTATTATCGATCTAGACCCTTCTCATTTGAAACTAAGAAAAGTGAAAGCACGATTGGTTCCAAAATCAATAAATTTTTTTCGAAAACAAGCGCGGTGTTAACGTCAGTGGAATAATAATATCTGACTACCAGGGTGTCATGCGACGTATTATTACTGGCGGTGAGTCTTGAATCAATGCTTACGACCCGAACAGACCATCAATACGCCGAATAGCGTGGCAAAAGTAAGCTGAAACCGAAAAACCACGTCTAAGAAAGTGAAAAATCAAGATTATGTTGACGTAAATAGCTAGGCGCATTGAAGGCTATTCCGGATTGTACTGTCAAGGAAAATTACTTTGAGGAGCACGACATAGAAATGAAGAAAAAATTAAGAACTTTTGAATTATGAGCAAAGTCTTAATACACTCGTGGCCACGCAAACTTTACCACACAAAATGTTTAAGTATTGTGCATATTTGACTACATTTTATACCGTTGCTTTTTGCGGTATAGAAATGTTTTATTTAAAAATAAGTTAAAGTTATTAAAAATTAAAAACCAAACACATTCAGCTTTAGATAAATCAATTGAAAGATAGCGAGCTTTACAAAATAAGGTGGAAATGTAAGAGACTGACATGCGACGAAAAAATTATATAATATTTTTTAGTTTTATACTCTCGGAACAAAGTTGTTAAGGAGAGTATTATAGTTTTGTTCACATAACGGTTGTTTGTAAGTCCTAAAACTAAAAGAGTCAGATATAGGGTTATATATACCAAAGTGATCAGRGTGTCGAGTAGAGTTGAAATCCGGATGTCTGCCTATCCTTCCGTGCAAGCTGTAACTTGAGTAAAAATTGAGATATCATGATGAAACTAGGTACACGTATTTCTTGGCTCCATAGGAAGGTTAAGTTCGAAGATGGGCAAAATCGGCTCACTGCCACGCCCACAAAATGGTGAAAACCGAAAACCTATAAAAAGTCATAACTAAGCCATAAAGAAAGATATTAAAATGAAATTTGGCACAAATGATCGTATTAGGGAGGGGCATATTTGAACGTAATTCTTTTGGAAAAGTGGTCGTGGCGTATTTTGTATATATATCGGAAACTATTGTAGCTATGTCAACCAAATTATATAGAGTCGTTTCTTTTAGGCATTTCCATATAGAGTTCCAAAACGGAAGAAATTGGATAATAACCACACCCACCTCCCATACAAAGGTTATGTGGAAAATCACTAAAAGTGGGTTAACCCACTAACAAAAAACATCAGAAATACTAAATTTTATGGAAGAAATGGCAGAAGGTATTTATGACCAAAAACCATATCTCAGGAAGTACTCGAACGATTTCAATGAAATTCGGTATATAAGATTTTCTTAACACCCTGCTGACATGTACGAGTATAGGTGAAATCGGTTCACACCCACGGGTTCTTCCAATATAACGCTACTTTGAATTCCATCTGAGGCCTTCTCTGTATAATATATACATTAGGAACCGAAGATTATAGCGGAATAAAACTTTACACAAATACGGTATTTGAGCTGAGGTATCCCTTGTGGAGAAATTGTCGTGATCGGACTATAACTTTTCAAGGTCCCTGATATCGCACAAGAAGACCTCAGTGCCTAACCTAACCTAAGCGAATTATTCACCGAAAATATTGGTAAATCTCTCAGATATTTTCATGTAATTCAGAGGGCTTCATTTTTATACTCTCGCAATAAAGTTGCTAATAACGGTATATATATATGGTTACATATAATAAAGTGATCAGAGTGTCGAGTAGAGTTGAAATCCGGATGTCTGCCTATCCTTCCGTGCAAGCTGTAACTTGAGTAAAAATTGAGATATCTTGATGAAACTTGTCATGCGAGAGTATAAATTGTTCGGTGACCTCCGAACTTAACCCTCCCTTACCTGTTTTAATTTAATTTCATTTACACTATATTTGAAATAAATATTTTATTTAAGAAAATATAGTGGTAAGTTTGCGTGGCCACGAGTGTATATTTTGCTCATGAAATGAGAATTATTTAAGTATAATTTTCACTGACGGTAAGTAAAATGTCGTAAAGTAAAATGTCGTAATAAAATTAAGTGAATCTTTAACGGGCTTTGATTCTTGGAGATTGCAAGAGTATAAATATTATATTACATTCGAGTTGAGCTCTTGTTTTCTTGTTTCTTATTGCGGATTTAACAATCCAATATGAAAATACCCAAAATCTGTAAGTAGAATAGTAAGCGGTAAACGATGATGATATAATAACCATTATTTATAATTATTATTCTTAGCTAAAATTTCCAAAAAAAAACTATTATGTAATGTTAGAACTAACAGTGAGTCTTAATTTACTTTTACTGTAGAAAATAATAGTCTTTGTATTATATCTTTATACATATACCATATGTACTTAAAATCAATTTACTCATTAACCAATTTACTCGCAAGAAACCAGGTAATGCATACCCCAAAATAAATACTTAAGTATATAACAATAAACTTGACCATAATTGGAGCAAGAAATAAGCAAGTACTGCTCGTATATAGCTAATCGATCGTAATAAAACATTTTCCGGTGCAATGACATTTGCGCTGCGTGATCTAGGCCCACCAGCGCCATTCTCAGCGGAGCCTCCACTTCTAGCGCAACTCTTGAGTATATGGGCGAATTCCATAACACAACGGTGCTTTCGCGATAAGTTAAATGCCAACCGCTGTTACACACTGTGTCGTCATTTAAAATATATAATGTTACATAAAGAAGTAAGCAAGTGGGCGAGCGAATGCAAGCGCCTTACTGACACACACACTTATTGCCACATTTAGGAAAAGAACTCTTTTCGAGCAGCTATTGGCACACTTAAAAGCCATGGTGCGCACCTCTCTATACGTATATATAAATGTGTGTCAGCAGTGGCAAGGAAGTTCTGATATAAAAGTAAAAGAAGAGACCTCGAAGACAACAGTTGACATTATTCGCCGAGTTAACGTGAACCGACGTGTGATTCTAACGAAAAATATGCTTGCCTACACAAAATTTTTGTTGTGCGTTCTATTGGCTGGTGTGGCCACCGCTACGGATACCTCAAAGCCAACAACCACCAAACCCATTTCGATAACAACGGAAGTCATTGAATCATCAAAGGATCCTCAAGCCAACATAGCGACGACAACGCCTCAGGCCGATGGCACCACCGAGCAACGCGAAGCGCAATTCGAGATGATCGCACAACGTATGGACATCACCAGCACTTTGGACGATAACAACGAGTATCATTACCTCTGCACGGTGGGCAAAAAGCGCACCCGTAAGTAGAACAAAATTATATAGATTATTGAGAGTATGGTATTAAATTGGAATTTGCGTCTTTGCAGAGAACGTCATGTGCTTCGCCGAGGATAACACACGCTGGGAGACACCGCACGATGTTAACTTGAAACTGCGTTGCCCCAAATCGGGCACCGGTTATGAGATCGCGTTCGCGCAAGTGGACGTTTGGATGACCTCTAATGATTTGGATTGTCGTGTAATAGAGGGCGGTGTGGGTTATGGATCTATTGGTCTGCAGCTGACCGCCTATAAAACAAATACGTTCCGATATATTGCTGATGTCTTCTCAGTTTGACAACAAGAATCGTTGTTTATGTGAATTGATATGATGAGGTATAAAATAAATTGTTTGAAATAAGCCATGATCTATTTGACTTCTTAGCAAAGAAGAAAGAAAGAAAGTACTGGAACAGCGAATAAAAGTGAAAACTTTTATAGAATCGGTAGTGCTAAGAAATAAGAATTGCCGCATAGATCTTAAATAGTAAGACATTTTTGATTTAACTAAAAGGAAGTAAGATTTAACGGTACAGACTTCGATCTGAATATTGCAGTAGACTAAGCGTCTACCTATTCAGAACTTACTAACATATGCCCGTCATGTAAAGAGTATTCGCGTAACACAAACCACCTCTGTGCAAGCCCCTTTAAACCTACGCACCGAACGTCGGAGTTTGACGCCAATTAGAGAATTCAAGCGCGGTCCCTCTCCACCTGGTCTTAACGAAATGGAGATCTACCTCTTACTCTGAAGTAATGAAGTTCTTCATCTTCCAACGTAGTGGAGACTCTGCTTCCGCCGATGGGTACTGAATCGAAAACATTCAAGCTTTCTTCCATCCACCGAAGCCGCTGTCTCTTTATTCGCTGACAATCGACTGTGGTATTCGCCGTTTTCAATGCGCAAAGAGCCATAATTGTTCCACATAACCTTTCTCTCGAAAACTCGACACATCGGATGTTGTCATCGTCCATGTGTGTGGGTTATGGATCTATGTATTGGTGCCAGGGCGCGGATGATGAGTGACTTATATAGTTTTGTATTTGTTCATTATGAGAGGACTTTACTTTCCAATTGGCTACTCAGTCGAAAGTAGCATCTGCTGGCAAGAATTGGGGTCGTAGGACTATACCCAACTCCTGTGTAAGATACGGTAGCCAACCTGTGTAAGGTCTAGGGCAAAGCTAAAAGATTTGAAGCGTCAGCGAAGCCATTCCGACATATTCGGTTTGAGGATTCGCTGAAGTTTATCAACAACAACTGTCTACAGAGATGTGGCTGCGAGCGGGCGTCATATAAGCCCTTTAGGATATTATGATTATTTTCAACATCTCTTCCGTTAAACCCAACCTTAATAGTACTTTAAATAACTCTATCGAAAATAACGAAGTTTAAGCAAATTAAAATGATACACGGTTCTGTATAAAGTATATGTAACGAGTAGACTATGCATAAATTTTGTTTTAATTTTTTCAAAAGTTCCATATAAGCCTTCAATACAAAAATGGTTCAAGAAACCCTCTCAATTTTCCACACTCTCAAACGGTAAATATGACTACTTTAATTTTAAATTAGGCATTCGATCACTTCGATTGCGATATGTCAATTAAGTTGATATAAAATATAAACAATAACAGTTATGGACTCCTAAATATATTACACACAAATGTGCGAGTATATACAGATACCACTCATAGGCACCTGAAGCCCATACTTTTGCACTCCGTAATCAGTCTATTAGTTGATATCGGGACTGCGTGCTGACAAGTCGATTGATTTCCAATTAGAAATTGTTTAAACGCGTGATAAAATAACATTTTTTTCTGTTTGCTTCTCTCTTTTTCATATATTTTGCATTAATTGTTGCCGAAATGCGTTATCTGCAGAAAAGGCATGAAAATGTTTGCTGCCTTTAATGAAATTTTATATGCAATAACCGCTTTATTTAGTCTGACAAATATTTTTCTGGCGTGTGGCGAAAAAGTGAGTGTGGTGGAGTTGACCACTTTGTGGACATTAAGCAATCAAAATGGCTGTAAGTGAAAGATTTCAAGAAAAATTAAAAAAACTTATCGAATCGGTTTGATTTTCGTGCCATGATTTCATATGTAAAATCACTTTTGTGATTTAATTTCACACCCTCTGTGATAACAATTTTGTTTACTTTTCCGGCAAGCCTTTATGATATACTATATGAAAATAAAGAACACGCTTGTAACATTTCCACAGAACTATAGTGATACAGTGTATCAATCGAAAAATATCTAACAATTTGGAATACTCAATATAATTTTTGGTGTTGAATCATGGAAATTTATATGTACATAAGTACAATGCACAATGGTGATTCTTCTAAAAACGGTTACAATTTCAGTTAGTTAAAGTGGTATACAAATAAATAACACGAAAAATCATATCATGACTTACGGGGTTATATCCCCATGTGGTCTCAACAAATGAAAGGCTTAGAGAAAAACAAACCACTGGCACTTCTTCCAAGAGACGGTGCTACGAAGAGGGTAAACTACAAAAAAAAGTTGAAAGTTACTCTCGGAAATAACGCGGAGTGGAGTGATCCCACGCTCGGTCTATTACTGAGAACAGAACTATCCAGTGGTACAGTGACGAGTCAAGTCAAGCGGCACTAAACGCCATCTCAGCTTTTGAAGTCAAATCGCTATTTGTGAAAGACTGTATAGGAAGGCTGAAACGCCTATCAGTTTCCAATCATGTACACCTGACTCACCTAGATGCCGGAGCAAAATTGGTAGTCGGGAATGAGCTGGCCGACAAACTAGCCCGCTCTTTGGAAGCTTCCAAGATGATGGGAGTACAATCATGCATTGTGGTGGACATCCATTCCATAAAGGAGTTACTTCACACCAAGAGAGAGTGAGGAGATAGTGGCACTGGCAGCAAACAAGAGGAATTCGTCAAGTTGCTTTACAAGGTTATAACCATAGCAAGGTTGAGAGATATAATCAACCTACTCCGCACTATACTGGCCACTACAGGCTCAAAAAACACTCTTGAGCAATTTGCCGGTTTTGCGACACTGAACCAGAAGCTCCAGAACACCTGATTGCCAAGCAATTTGTAGAAGCAGGTTCAAGGCATTTGGCTCCATCTACATTGACAGGGATCACATAACCTCCATCGCACTCAGTAAGCTTCTGCAATTGTTCAGACTGCTGGACCTCAGTGACCATATGTGATATAGGAGAAGGCACAGTAGACCATAGATCTTAATGCAAAACCTCAATTATTTTCTAGCTATCTATCTTCTATCCACTTGCAAGTAAAAACAAAGCGTTTTCTTTCAAACGGTGATTCATTTGAAAAACTTTGGATTTCCTTGATGCCGAGTCGATCCCTAGGAGGACCTCCGAAAAAGACTGTTTGGTGGAGAAGATTAAGCAGAAATAAAAATTGTCTTAAAATTATATAAACAAATATTATTTCAATAGATGAATACAGATAATGATCGAAAAGCGAGTCAAAACTTTTATTTTTGACAAAATGGCGGCTCACTAAAAAAAACTCGTTCTTTGAGTGAATAAATTTTTTTTTTTATGCAGTTCATTGAATTTATGCTCAAAAGAGCTTATTTCCTTCAACATTACCCAACAAATGTTTCAACAAAGATTATGTAAAAATTTCAAATCGTTCGGTGCAAGCGTTTCGGAGAAAGTTTCTTCCGGATTCTGAGAACGTTTCGATAAGTGTTTGAAATTTGAAAGTCGAGAGAGAATCTATGTTTAAAAGTGCGTTATATCTCATATTTTCGGAACTAGTATTTGCCGGATCAACTTCAAAAAGTATTGTATCTATGTCATATCCTTCCGTTTATGATAAATCATCGGTGTTATCAGTTTGTTTTATATACAGGCATGCCGTATATTTGTTAAGCAGCGTGATCAAAACTCAATAACATTAATCAATATCATCAAAGTGTAGAAAGTGGCTGGAACATTCAAGTGTGACGCTGATAAGATAAGAAAATTTTTGTTTGTTTGTACTATGTCAACATTGTGCTTAATTGAGTGGCTTTTGAACGCTAATAATCGTGCCATGGGAGTTTCGATAAGGCGACCTGTTTATAGCGAACATTTTTATGCGATTTTTTAGGGAATCACCGTAAATAAAGATTTACTAATTAAATGCCGGCGAAGGGAGCTTTCGCAGGTATTCGAAATTTTGGGTAATTAGTAATTAGCTTTTCGAAGTGGCATACCCTGGTAACTTCGTAATCCAGATATAAAAGTTCGGATCCTCGAATTTCAAGATACTGCCAAATGGCTATTACCTAACAGTTTTGAGCAGAAATATCAGTAGAAAGCAGATGTAATCAATGGACAACTCCGCAGCCTGAGTCTTAGCTGGCGCTACTGGAATTAAATCTATAAATTTAACTAAATTTTTAGTTAGCCTAACCTCCAGTAAGTCATTAGTTTGTTAATTACATCAACCGACGAAAACATCAAAAAAGCGCGAAAATTAATTTGGATGACCATAAAGTGAAGTGGTTCGAGATAGCAGATATTCTAAGGATATCAACAGAAGGTGTACTTCCTGTCTTTAACGTATATTGGGGTATGAGAAAGATCTGTGCAAAATGGGGGTTCGCGAGATCTTACTTTTGACTAAAAACCACGAAGAGTTCATGATTCGTAGCTGTTTTTGTAGATGCTTTTGCGTCGAAAAAATCCTGAAAAAGCGCATCACGGGACTGCCACGGTTGTGACGTCTGTACTTTGGGATGCGCGGGAGATACTTTTTCTGACTACCTTGAAAATGGAAGAACCGTAGCAGCGACTATTACAAAGCGTTCATGGGCTGGTTAAAGGATAAAATCGCATTCGACGAAAAAGATCTGACCACAGCGACGATTTTCTGTTCTCAGATCTCAAAATAATGTTCGCTGGGAAGAAATTTCATTAGTCATTAATCAGTTGCTTTTACATTTCAGGATTAGAGAAAAAGCATACATATATACATATACCTTTGAATGGATTTGAACCAAATGTCGAAGTAATTATGCCACTTTCATTAAAGTACCTCCTCCTTTTGAATGCATCAACTGCCTCTTCAGATGTCAGAGCTCTTAGTTAATATGTTCCTGTTCCGCAAAACAACCAAAATTAAATCATTGGATTTCACGTCGGCACTTTAAGGTGGAGTACTTATCAAATAGATGTGATTGCCGAAGAACCCCCGGAACTAGCAGGTTATAAGACTGGTTAAAACAGCGGTTGAGTTTTACCTCACCCGTCTTATAGCCTAGACTTTGCCCTTTCCGAATACCATTTGCTCTAATGGGCGCTCTCGTTAGCACAGAATAGCAATATAGCTTGATACATT